AGAGCTCACAAGACGACTCAGCCAGACACCTCTGCGAAGGAGGATGCATCCACCTGCCACCCCAGAAATAGAATTTTTCTATTAGCGCATGCCCATCAGGACTGACGTCAGCTCTCCCACTTTGCACCTACAGGGACCAAGAGGGAGGATTTACAAGGAAGCTGCACAGGACACACTTTCATTTGGGAGAGAAACAAGCATCCATTAGTAGTAGCAAAACCTAAAGAACAGCAGCAGATTTTAACCCCTTCATGTCCCACATGCATTTCCCAGGCAAAACCAAATGATACTTTTAGTTCTATATCTACATTCCACATACAAAGATTTATGTAAAAAAATGTTTCTGAAAGTATTATTTATAGTTTGAAAAAGCAGAAATAATAAATGTCCACCAGTAAAGGAACAGTTAAATTACGATGCATTTATGATAGACCATTATATACCTAAGATACTTTTGAAATATCTTTAATGACAATATACTGTTACTTTACAAAGATATTATACGAGGTATGACTCAAACACACACACAGAGTGAACGCACAAAGCAAATACAAAAAAATTGGACAGGAATTATGTCTGGTATTGGGATTAGGACTGATTTCTTTTGTCTTTATTTTTTTTTTCCCCCTTATTTTCCAAGTTTTCTAGAATGAACAAGCTTATTTTTATTGAAAAATGAATCTTACAACGGAGTCATAAACATAAAAGCTTGAGAAGCCTGAGGGGCCTTAAAAACAAAAGAAGACCATCCAGAGCGCTGGTTCTCAGGTGTGGTGGCAGAGACCCCTGCGGCTCCTGAGGCTCTTTTGTAGCATCGAGGTCAATATGACTGTCATTAATAATAAGATGTTTTGCCTTTTCACTCTCATTCTCTCACAAGGGTTCACTAGAATTTTCTAGAGGCTACATGACTTGTATATCAAAACAGACTGAAAGCAAAAGGGGACAGGAGAATCCAGCCGTCTTCAACAGGCAGACGTTAAAGAGATTTGCAAACATAAAACAGTGCCCTTCTTCTCTTTATCTTTTTTTTTTGAAACATTTTCCAAAAAAGACCTTTTAGGGGCTTCCCTGGCAGCTCAGTAGTTAGGAACTCGCCTGCCAATGCAGGGGACACGGGTTTGGTCCCTGATCTGGGAAGATCCCACATGCCGTAGAGCAACTAAGCCCACGAGCCACAACTACTGAGCCTGCGTGCTGCAACTACTGAAGCCCATGCATCTAGAGCCCGTGCTTCACAACAAAGAGAAGCCCACGTAATGAGAAGCCCGTGCACCGCAACGAAGAGTAGTCCCCCCCTCTCCGCCATTATAGAGAAAGCCTGTGTGGAGCAACGAAGACCCAACGCAGCCAAAAATAAATGAAAATTAAAAAAAAAATCTTTTAGTGATGTTAACGTCTAATGGATTTATATTATTTTTATTTAATAATTCATTAATTATTCATTTAAGAATTAAATATTTTTAAAACGTCTTAGTTTTAACTTCTATTATAGCAAATATCAATAGATATAACCCGCATACACAAAAGCTCTCTGGGGTTCTAATTTTTAAGAAGTCTTGAGACCAAAAAGTTTGAGGACTGCTGGCTTAGAGTACTGTAATCTAACCCTAAGCCTTCAAGCCCAGCCACTGTAAGACAGACCTTGGCCAGAAGGTAAATACCAGACAAAAATAACGCAAAGACACTGGGTCAGAGCCTTTCACTTTGAGATGAGCAAAATGCAGAGGAAATGAAAAGCACAATCATAAAAACATATTAAACAACCAAAATAACTAGAAGTGAGGATGGTTAGTGCCACTTCTTTGCTACAAACCACAAAACAAAAACTTGGCCCCTTTTTGGAGGGGAACTTGCTTTCATCTCTCCCTCCCAATCAAAAAAGAAAAAGAAAAAAAAATCCATCATCAACGCCAAACTACTAAAACGAAACAAAAAATTCCAACGCAGGCAACATTAACCTGATGGGTTAGGCAACTGGAAGTCTAAAGCCAAGAGCAATTATTTCAGTGTTCTAGCAGGAGGCTTCAGGAGGACAGCTGGTCAAAAAGAGCCCTGGCCGACCTGCAGGAAGACGGAGGTGATCCCCCAGAGACCAGCAGTGACAAACAGGTGGGCGTGGGGCAGGTCTCAAGGTCAAGGTTGCTGGTCTCTCCCACTGGACTTGAGGGAGGAGCTTCACGAAAGACAGAACAGCGTGCCGTGCACTCCCCAAAGCCAATCCCTTCCTTCTCTGGCTCAGTGTCAGAAGGCATAAAGGAGGTAGATTTATCTTTTATTTTGGTAATTTTAAATGGGAACAGACAAGCTTAATGTGGACTGTTTAATCACGGTGAGGATAAACTTGGGCATGGGAAATGCCAGAAGCTTATTAGTAAGACTGTTTCTTTGTAGATAGTAATTTTGTCTTTAAAAACTCAACATTCTCCCTTCTTTTTGCCTTTTGTATTGAAAACTGGCATATATGAAATAGGTCTCTTACACCAGTGGTCCTCAAATTTTAGCAAGCATTGGCTCCCGGGGAGGGCTGGCTGAAACCCAGACTGCTGGGCCTCACCCTGGAGTGTCGATTCAGCAGGTCTGAGGTGGGGCTGGAGAACCTGCACTTCTAACGAGTCCCCAGTGCTGCTGCTGCGGCTGGTGACGGATTACACGGAGCCCCGCACTGCGATTCCCACAGGAAGGCCGTGGGCTGGGTGCCCCATCGCCGCAGCGGCACAGATCAACAGGGGGCTCTACTCTCACTTACAGGACAAAATCCGTGACATATGTTAGGAATGGCCTTTGGGGCACAAAGGGCACATACTGGTGATCACCTAGGTTTCCTCAGGGATGGAAAAGACCAGGTCTAATTGAGTAAGTGTACCTATCTCATAAGACGGGTGAGACAGTCCATGGAAAGTGCTGAGCACAGATCCTGGCCCATAGTGACACCTCAATAAACGTATTATTTGCATTACAATTAAATGGGGGAGCCAAAGGGCTGGGCCAATGAAATATGGAGAAAGGATAACCTGGAATTCAGAGCTGAAAGAACTTTCTTCATTCTCTTGGGTCTCAGTAGGACGTGGCCTCAAAGGGAAGAGCAGAGGAGAGGCCAGTTCCCTGCTCACTGTCAGGTGTACTAAGGTCGCAAGGAAACTCCTGACACAGGTAGCCCTGGCCACCTCTCTTGTGAAGGAGCTGTTATCAGAGAGAAATGCAAGTCAGCTGCTGAGCCGAGATGCCAGGGTGTGAGCAGCTGCTCTCACAAGCGCCAACGAAAAATGGCTATTTTCCTTTTAGAGAACTAGCAGACCACAAACATCCCAATGACACTCAAAGCAGTCAACCTGAGGAACCATACATATCTCTCCACCGGTTTACTGCTTACCAATAAGCAATAAACTGCCCCTTTAAAAAAATCACCTTTATAACTTTCCCCACTTCATCTCTCCAGCCTGGGCTCACAGGCAGCTCTTCTGCCCTCTCAATCTGGCCACATGCTGTTTGCTGAGGGGACACGTGCTGTGACGGCTCCCTCCCCAGGAACCAAGAGTGAAATGAAAATGGATGTGAAACGTGAACGATCATCTACTTCTACGTGTCTTAGTGAAAAACACGACCACTTGCTAGTTTTATCTAGCAAACAAGTCTTGCTAGTTTTATCTTGCTGAATCAATTTTCTCTAAATTAGTTACGGAAATCTGTTTGGATCTCCTTTGTCTATTGCTCTATTTTTTAAAAAATAAATTTATTTACTTATTGTTGGCTGCACTGGGTCTTCGTTGCTGTGCGTGGGCTTTCTCTAGTTGCAGCGAGTGGGGGCTACTCTTTGTTGCGGTGTGCGGGCTTCTCATTGTGGTGGCTTCTCTTGTTGTAGAGCATGGGCTCTAGGCGTGTGGGCTTCAGTAGTTGTGGCATGCAGGCTCAGTAGTTGTGGCCCATGGGCTTAGCTGCTCCGTGGCATGTGGGATCTTCCTGGACCAGGGCTCACACCCATGTCCCCTGCATTGGCAGGCAGATTCTTAACCACTGTGCCACCAGGGAAGCCCCTGTCTATTGCTCTTAATTTAAAAAAGAACAACTCAGGTTAACTGTGGAAAGGACTGAATGTACTGGACACTGGGTCCCCACTGATGGCACCTGGCCTTGTTCCACCACCAGCCTTTGTTAGGGTCTTGGAAATGGGCAACATTCAGGGCCTTAGCCTTCAAAGTCCAAGATCTGGCTACTCTTCTGAGCTCCAGAGAGAATCGGGGGACACTGCTTTTACGTTTTCCTACTTCTTTTTCCTGTTTGCTAAAAACATGTTCAAGCGTCTCCGGCGGCAACAGCAAGCCAAAAGCAGCGTTCTCAGAGCTCGGCACACCATCACTGCGGCAGCTGGGCCACACGCTTCCCACTGCCCCTCCCCACACCTGTCACTCAGGCGCAACCCACCTCAGCTGTCCCACATGCACGACATGCTTTTTAACTTTTTTCCCTATTAAAACAAGCTCAGATATCATAGAACTAAAAAATATTAGACTTCAGTAGAATAAAATCTTTAAGTTATACTAAAATGCATGCAAATAGTAATCAAAGTTTACATTCCTTACTTTTTGGTTACTCTCATCTATCTCCTCCATCTATCTCTGAACTTGGTGAAACTTGGCCCTCACTCATAAATGGGGTCCAGGAGGGACGAGGAAACCCACACCCTCAGGTGGTTAGGGACAGAGCTGACACTGGCTTACCTGTTCTCCACGCTATGGCCTGCGCCCTGGCCTCCCACACACGTTAAGCTTTAATATAAGCAGTGCTCCAGCAGGCCTGATGTTGACAGCTGTTACTTCATTACTGGAAAAATGAGGAGGTTCTGAAAATCCCACCTCTCTTCCCAGTTACTTGCTTAAGGGTCGATGTGCTTTGGTTCATCCACGTGTGATACAAACCCCAAAGAAAGCCACTGCTGGGACGGTCTTCCGCAGACTCAAGTGGAAAACCCGGTTGTGACCCTGGGAAGCAGCACAGCTCACCTCTGGCATGATTTCTATCTTCTCATACCGACGCTTGAAGGGCAGGGCGAGGACCTCGGCGCGCCGATAGGACATGGCGGGTGGCTGGCAGTCAATCATCAGGTCTATCCGGTGGGACTGCGCTGGGGGCGGCTGGGTGTACTGCTCAGGACAGACCACGTGGAGGGGCTGAGGAACCAGCGCGACAGGGGCAGGTGGGGGAGAAGAAGGAGGAAACAAGAGGAGGCTGTGAGGCAGGAGGGGCCGCGTCCTGAGCTAAGCCTCCCTTTGCAGTGCTCAGGCTCACCACTTGGCCGTTTCGAATTCTCATCCTGTCAAACCCAAGTAACCAGCGAAGTGGGGGGAAAGAAGAACAAAAATTTCAGGGAAAAGCCCTGATCTGCAGGCCATGTTGATGAGCAAGGGATTTACTGTCTTGGTTTGCATTTATTTTTTCATTATATTTAAGTCACTTTGATGGTGACAGCCGTGGGTCTACCCTCAAATGACCTCTGAGCCCCTTGAGGGCAGTCTTCTCATCACTTCCCATCATCGACTTGGTACACTACTGGCTGATTAGCAAGAACTGTGACTTTTTGTGCGAGTTTGGATTCCTGGTCTGGATCTGCAGGTCTACTGGCACTACGCAGTGGGCAATGGTGAGGCCTTATCCTCAGCTGTGTGGGACACACTGAATCAGATAGAATTTTTTTATTTTTTAACAAATGTCTCTTTTTATTATCTTGAGAGAAAACCAATTAGTAAGCCAATGTTTACTTTGGCCAAATACCACCCAACTGCCAACTGAACGTGGCACCCAGAGAGTCAAGGCATTGTCACTGCGTTTACTGAAGAGTCTGGACCGAGCCTCAGTTCCCGGAAGAACAAGGCTTCCAACAGACCTGACGGGTTGCGTTTCAAACCGCACTTGTCCTTTAGGACTGACACCTCTCCTCCTCTTCAGACTGCCTTTCACCCTCCTTCCTGCCTGGTTAGCATCTTATAACTGTCTCAAAGCCAGTCGACTCCACAGTCACTGCCTGAGGGCTCTCCCCAGGTTCTCCTCCCCTGCAGTGGAGACCAGGCGGCCTCCTGTTTCCCTTATTCACACACCACTGAGGGGGCTGCGGAGTCCGCCATGGTTCAGGGACAGAGGGTGACATTACTCAGGAGTGAAAACAACAGGCTCTTAACTGTTTCTTCCAGCAAGTTGACAGGCACACAGTGGTGTATCAGATCGCTCATGGAAATCGGAAGTGGCTTAACTGCTCCAACCATGTCTAGAGAAAGGCCCAGCAAGCTTGGGGTCACCGTCAGCTGTTACCCCTGCGCTCTGGAGGCCTCCAGCTTTTTCTGTTTCCTGCTACCCTTCCTTAGAGTTTCCTGTTAGCGCCTCTCCTCCTGAGGTCAGGGGTTCTGTGAAGAGGAGGAAAGTGATCTCCCAGCTCAGGCCGAGAAATGTAGGGAGCCAACCACACCTCGCTCAGCGACTAGGGTCCAGGGCACCCCAGCACTCATGTAAGGTCCCAGGCACACCGAGGTGATGGGACATCAGAACCCTTCCTCTCGCCTGTTCTGAGCTGTTTTCCTCACCAACTGCCACCACCCCTCCAACCCCGAAACACGGGCCACCCGAATGATAAGTGACCCACCCAGGGCGGTGAGTTTTTCCTCCCCGTTCTCCTTCTGGACCAACAGTGCTCCTCTCGCCTAAGCTTTACCCCAACTACTCCCTCCCTTTCTCTAAGGCAGAAAATGCAAAATGAAACAAACAAACAAAAAAGCGACAACCACCAAACCAAAACAATCCGCTAACAAAAGCATAACACTGTGGTACTAACCCACGTGTGCAACAAGGGCCCAATATATGTTTCAGTTCAGCTGTCTTTCAGCTTGACGAGTATGTTTCTAGAATGATTTTTTTTGGTGGTGGGAGGGGGTAATTACCCCCTCTTTTAACTGGACGCAAATGGTCCTCATCAAAAATGAGACACTGTTTACACTTTCTTTTCCTCCCATTTTTGATTTCTTTAGAGGAGAAACTTCTTTCAGGGTGTAAAGCCCACCGGTTTGGAGTCTGGAGGGTACCGGGCTGAGCACTCCGCAGACCGAGAACGGGTGAGGAAGACAAGCAGTGCAGCTCGCCATCCTGGCCCTCACACCACAGACACAATCCGCACAGATGCCAGGACCGCGGGAGCCGCCAGCACAGTTTCCCCATTACCTGCACTTCTTTGAGCAGCTTTGACACTTGGATGAAATTCAGTCTCGTATCAATGGGGCAGTATATGCATTTCATGGCCAAGGGCTGGTAGGGAGCCAGTGCTTCCAGGTATGAGAAGTCGGGTTCTAAGGGGAGCACAAGAAAGAAAATTTAAAATGCAGGCAACAGAGGAACGGCCCAGTGAGGAAGCAGCTGGCATGGTCGAGGCCCAGCAGACGGGCAGCATGACAGGAAAGGCACTGAAGGTTACAGGAGCCAGATTCCCCATCACGGGAGAGAGGAGTGATTTACAAATAAGGAGACGGGGAGGCTGGACTGAACGCTGCAGGATGGATATGGAATTGGAGGGATGGCATGAGCGCCAGGTTTTCAACACAGATGGAGAGAGAGATGAGACAAATGAGGGGATAAATAAGTAAATGGGTGAGAAAGGAAAGCTCTTCTTTACAACAAAATGCCAACTAATAAATGTAAAAGAAGTGATGAAATTGAAAAAAAATTCATCATTTGGCAACCATCACAGTAATAATTTATTTGGACCAGAATCAATAGATGCTAAAAAAAATTAGATAAACACATGGGGAAGACCAGGATAAGTACATAGGCTCGAAGTGTCCCCCACAAGATACTGATTGACACAGAGCGGTGACTTCACAGTGGAGAAATCGGGCACAAGCCACTCGAACGGAGCGCTCAAAGGTCACCCCCAGGTAGGAGACAGACCATGTGCCTCCTACTTGACAGGATGCACGCAGAAGAAAAAAAAGAAGGATCCTGACCCCATGTCAACAAAATGCTTGTGCTGAGGCTGTGATGTCCCATCAGCAGAGCCAGTGCAGCGCCTGGGAACCGTCCTTGCCACGCTGGCTGGTTTGTTCTCTGCAGAGCCGCTCACCACGGCCAGCCTGGTGGGGATTGTTTGCTCCGCTGGAGGAAGCTGCCCACCTCGGGCCAAAAGCAGTGGCTCACTCCTGGTGTGAAAAACGACACGCAGGTTCCTGACACAGTCTGTGCCCTGCGAGGACGCCACTTCCTACGGCCCCAGCTTTCCACACACCGCTCCCAGGAACTTACTCAGTGACCTCAGGGCAACTCACAGAACTTCCAGATTTTTTAAATGACCTCCCCTGCAGCGGATCCTGTCTACCCAGGAAGAACCCAGAGACCACCCAAATGAGGCCAGCACGGCTGCCCGGGGGAGAAGCGCCTCTCTTTGTACGGATACTGTGTGAGCTACAACTCCCACAGTCATAATACAACCAGATAAGGAGGCCCAAAACCTCGCAGACATTGTTAACGACACAACTTGTGCTCTGGAAGTGAACACACCAGTTTAAATGTATACTCCTTACCCAGATGAATGTCTGGTAATGAATGCCATGGGCAATCACGAAGCCCTTGCTTTCTTCTTAGCTGGCTGGAGGGACGTTTGGAGTATAGCCATGTGTCTCTTCTGTGTCTCTGTAATACTGTACCCACCGTCACATCAGAGCCAACATCTCCTCAGAAAGAACAGGAGAGACCCCCTCAGTCCTACTACACACAGTGTTCTCTGGATGACTTCCTGCTTAGCAGAACTTGGCAATGGTGAGGCTCTGGGTAGTGTGAATCAACGTCTTAGGACCGGACTTCCTCTGCCTGTGGCTGAAAGGGGGTCTGCGAGGGAGAAGAGCAGCGCCCGATGGCTGCTCTTCTGAGCGCCCCCGGCACTCACGGCCAGGCCACGGTGGCACCCGCTTACTGGACATAAACCACCTCACATGACGCTGACATGAGAAAAGGCCACGCAGTGACCACGATGGATCAAGACAAAAATAAGACCCTCCCTAATCATGCCTGAACATAAGACCACAGCATGTCTGAACCACCAAACAAGCAAACACTGCCCTCTCCTGGCTCCATTCTTCTCGCCTTCCAGACAAGAATCACTAAGATACCCAGCCAGAGAACTACTGCTTCCTGATGGCACCCAAGCCAGAACAATGAACCCACCTCCAAAACCACCTAAGCCAAGGCCTGTAAGTTCTTCTGAACGTGCCCGGCGATGCCTCCTGCCTCCCCATGGCAGTACCCCCTCACTGCAAGGAGTCAGTACCCCAACTTTGTTCCATTACTGGTGCGTTCCTGGTGGCCTCTGGTTGGTCCTCACAACAGGCTGAGCACAGGGAAGGGCCCAAGCATCCCTGACCCCAAAGCTTTGGGCATAACTAGACTCTCCTCCATGGCTCACGTCTTAAAGGTAATTAGAGAACACTAAGAAGGCTACTGGTACTTTCTCAACAGGCTTTTGTGCCAGGCACTATAAGGAGTGCTTTCTTATAACATTTCACTAAATGCACAGAGCTGCCTGAGGATGAGCGACCAACAACCCCATTTTACAGAGGAAAGTGAGGCTCAGAGCAGTGAGTAACCCGGCTGAGGTTACAGTAACTCGGACCAGATTTCAGATCAAGGTGTTTTTACTTCATTGCCCTGAGATTTTCAAATCCTAAGGCTGTCTGAAGACCGTGAATTGATAAAATAAGATAGTGATTAAGTAAAACCCCTAACTTGCCCTCATTTAAGGATTAGTTTTATTCTGAGGGGTTGGCCTCCACAAGAAAAACGGCAAGCCAGAGTAAACTATAACCAAAGGAGAAAGATCCATCTCCGTAAGTAAGTCCTAAAGCAAGTAAAGCAAGACTGATTATTAGAATTCCTGCCGTTCTTGAACAGCTTACAAAATCGTATCCAAAGTAGTTCTAGACCAGAAATCTGTCTCGGTGAAAATCTACAAAAACAGATATGAAAGCTCTGTCCAGTGCACAGTGATCTAACAGGACATTTTGCTTTGTTCTTACCCTTTCCCTTCCAGTTGCTTTATCCTTTGGTATTTACAACAGAATAGGGATCATATTTATACCTTATAACTTACTGTCAAATTCTTCCCAGCGTCTCTACCTGGTAGGTACATCCTACTAGGTTATGCAGGGATGGTCACAGTGGGAAGGGCAGGTTTTTGTTTTGTTGGTTTATTTACCTGTGAATATGACCGTGTTGAGACTAGATTTTCCCCAGAGCTCCATGAAATGGACCACGTCCCCAAATCGGAGGGAAGGGTGTCCAGTGAAAACCACACACGGCTGTCTGAAGTCGTTGCTGAAGTCTCCATGGATGCTGGGGTAGTGCTTCAGCTTGTTGGTCTGAATGAGCTAGAATACGTATCAAAAGCACATGAAGAGATGTTAGCCTATCCAGGAAGGAAGAACCACAGCATGGGACAGTGAACAAATTAAAAATACAAGATAATGCTATTAATATTAGCCAAAGATCCAAATTTTTTACCTACAATGTGACTTTCTCAAAAGATGGGACCTTTCGGTAAAATTACCAAACTTAATGGAAACTTCTTTTCAGGTTGTCATGGCCTGATTCTGTCTAACCCTTCCTTTATAGCTTCCTGACACTCCAAGCTCCAGGCCCCGAAGTCCCCAATATTAGTTACTGTTTGAAGTACAAGTTTCCCAAACTCTGTGCATCAGCGAGTTCTGTCAACAATGAACACTTCACACAGGAGAAACTGTTTACCAGCACAGGACTGCCTGAGACGGTACAGCTGTGTTAGGTTACTGCGGCGAGGGGCAGGGGACTTAATAAACACAAGAACAAACTGGCTTTCAGCAACGCGGGAGATGTGATGTCCTCGCGACAGAGAGCTAGAGTAAGAAGCAGGCCACGCACAGTCTCAAACCTGTCTCAAAAGTGAATGTTTTGAACCAAAAAGGTCTTCCTTCTAGCACAACACTGGGAACTACTCTCCTAACGCCAGGCCCGACCCAAGGCAACGCCATATACAGTTACAACAACACATGGCATCTTGTGGCACTGCTCAAAAGTTCTTCCTGCTGCCTCAGCCCTGCCCCCACTGCCCCACTCTAGCAACAAAAAGATGGCAAACACCCATACTTCAGAGACCCTAAATATCAACTAGTAGTGCCCTGAGATGCTGTCTGATGGGTAAAGAATTGGTCTGTGACCCAGCTCAATCCTGTAGCCACCCATAATGCCTAAGAAGGGAGCCCAGCCAACAACTCCAAGCCCACTGTAGTCACCCCAACGGTGAGGATGTGGCCAGAATGGGGCCGCCCACAAATGGAAGCTGACTCTCTTCATCTTGAAGATTTAATCTTTAATTCAGAGAGACTGCTTTCATTAGCAAGACTACCCTGGAGATCTTAATTAGGTGTCACATGCTTGGATGGGATATGAATAGTAAAGATGCAACAATCACTGCATTCCCACTTCCCTTCCAAGTTATATACAAATAAAACTGGCATTCTTTGTATAACCCATCTGGCCAAAATCATTACTTGCCCCAGTTAAACAGGTGAATGGCTGACTAAAGGACTGTTCTACTGTATCCATAGATGTCAAGGAGATGAATGGGATTCTAAGAAGAGCAGCAGGTCTTTGCACATAAATTAAGTCACTTTTTAAGGCAAACTGAGATTTTTTTTTTTTTTGCCAATCAGATCTACTTTTCCAGCGGACTTACTACCTTTTTGACCATCCAGAATTACCTTTGTGCTGATTTAAGGTGCAAACTGTATAGGCAATGAAGCTGTAGGGTAGGAATTCTGTAGAGCAATTTTTTAAATCAGTACTAAGGGCAGAACTGTATTTTCTCATGGGCACTGGTCACATAATACCGATTATCAACTCCATCACGCCCTAATATTGACAAGTGCATTTCAGGAATCCTGATCATGCACCTATGGTCTTTTCACATTCTTAACTATAAATGGGACAAAGGTCATCCATGACATACTTGTGGGTAAGAACACGGTAACACCCTTAGAGAACACGTTCTGAAGAAAGCCTAATTGTTATTAGGGAAGAGGCAGATAGACTTTCAGTGTTTTGCTACACTTAATGTTTTGCTATACTTAAATTTCTGACACGAGATATCTAGCCTGAATTTCACTGTAGTAATGACAGAGCTTGCAAAAATCTTGGCTGCTGTAAGAGAGTATGAGGACTGCAAATAACTTCCTCAAAACCTTCCACTTGACATTCTGGTTCATGAAAGACCTGTCCTTTGGAGTAGGAAAACAGTAGTCAGATTTAAAATAATCAGCGGGACAACTGCTGCAATTTTCTTGAGCCGAATAGTTAACTGCATAGCAAATAAGTCGACAAAATCCCTATGCATAAGTACCCGCACAGACATCCCTAACTTGATGGAATTTTTACAAACTGAAAACTTCCACGTTCCCATATGCACATCAATAAACAGCATTACCAGCTCCTCAGAAATCCCCCTTTGTCCCCTTCCTGCCCCCACTGCTACCTCCAGGATAACCATTCTCCTGGCTTTTAATATCACAGATGAGTTTTCTGTGTGTTTGAACTTTTGTATAAATAAAATCACACCATATCTACTCTTTTATATCTGGCTTCATTCACTAACATTATGTTTGTGAAATTTATCTACATTGTTGCATATAATCAGAGTCCCTTCATCCTCTTTGATGTAAGGTGTGAATATACCACAAAATTCATTCACCCGTTGATGTACATTTGGGTACATTTCAGCACTATTACCAAGAGGGCTATGAAGATTTCTGTGCAGATCTCTGGGTGACACACCTGCATTTCTGTTCAGTACAGACTTTGGGAATGAAACAGCTGAGGCACAGAGGATGTCACAGTCCTAGGTTCAACTTTACTGTCAGTTTCCTAAAGTGGTTATACCAATTTACACATCCTTTTCAAAAAACATAACAAAAAACTGGGAGTAACGCTATTGTCCAATAGGAAGGGAATGGTTAAGTACACTATAGTATGTTCACATGATATGCTACGGAATATTAGGTAGCAATAATAACAGTGAGGCGCACAGATAAATGTCCATGATACACCCAGCACTGGGTGAAAGAAAAAGCAGTAGAAACAAAATTGGGCACACACAGCCATATAAAATGACTCACTGGTTCTGTGAGGAAGGGGGAATTTTTCTGTTTTCTAAACTGAAATGTTCTTATTTTCATCATTAAAAATTTATACCAATGACAGACATAACCAAACAAAAAGAAGACTTTGGCAATAAGTAAATCATTTATGCAAAAAAGTAGAATAAAATTCCTCACTCGGTCAATGAAACAGAGGTAGGCTATTAACTGAATAACATACTGGTAATATAATGTGTTAAGAAGAAGAGAAAGTAACGAATCTTGAGTCAGAGTACTTCACTGCCATCTTACAAGGGAAACAAAGGGCTATATCAAATTATCTTCGGATTTTTAAAAGCTAATGACCTGCTATATCCACCCATATCTATTTATCTACATTTTATTCTTGCTCTGACCCAGTGATTCCATTTTCTTACCTCTGCATGAGGAAAAGGCGGTTCTGGGAGATACACCTTAGTCTGTTTGTTGTGACAAAGCCTTTTGAGGAGGAAAAACAGATCAGCAGGTTAGGCAAGGGCGTACAGTGGCATCTGTTGCCACCTAGTGGTAGCAGCGCAAATACTTAATACCGAAGTTTATTTGAAATTTTCCTGTCAGTGTATCTCACTGTGAATAAAACACCAGCATTTATAGCGTAATCAGGACATAAGTCACTTGTGAGCACAGTTTTAATCTTTGAAATTCCTCAATACATTTTTTTCTTTAAAAATAAGCTTCTTATTTTGAAGTACTTTTAGATTTACAGAAAAGTTGCAAAGACAGTACAGAGTTCCCATGTACCTTTTAGCTGGTATCGCACTATGTTTGTTAAACTAACTAAGAAATAAACATTAGTACTTTACAGTTAACTAAACTCTAGACTTTACTCAGCTTTCACCAATTTTTCCACTAATGTTCTTTTTCTGTTCCAGGATCTAATCTAAGATACCGTATTGCATTTAGTTGTGATCAAAAAAAAAAAAAAAAAATTTTTTTTTTTTTTTTTTTGGCTGTACCTCGCAGCTTGCAGGATCTGAGTTCCCCAACCAGGGATTGAACCTGTGCCTGCAGTGGAAGCACAGAGTCCTAATCACTGGACTGCCAAGGAATTCCCTAGTTGTGATCAATTTTGAGGAGAGAGTGATACACTTTTTTTTTTTTGAGACATAGCTTTTCTATTTTATACATGCACCATTTCATTAATAGCAGAATTGGTAACTCAAACTGGAGAATAATAAATCTCTCCAGTAACTCTATCTTAATCTAGACACCGTAAACGTTTTAGGTAGTCTGTGTTTTTCCCTAGCCAGATATAACATTTAAAATACGGAGATTTCTGGAAAAGCAAATGTGGCAAAAGGTTAACAATTGTTAAATCAAAGTACGTGGGTGTTCTGTAGCTCTGACATTTTTAAAAGTTGGAAAAAATATATGTAGTGATTATGTTTGTTAAAGCCTGCTTCTAAGAATTCTATCAAAATAGAACTAAAGCATTTCAACAATTCTAATAGATGTTACTTTTGGCAGAATAATTTAGAACTCTGGGGCTTGGATTTTGTCTGAACTTCATTAATACAATTATCTAATTTTTCCTTCTTTAGTTTAACTCGATTTCAAAAACATTACTTTATATCATTTTTGGAAGAAGTTGTACATATGGGAACAAGATACTTTTGAAGGGTTACTTATTAATAATATCTAAACAGACAACAGTACTGTCTTTATTTCAAACTCAGGAGGAGAGACAAAAGTTCTTAGTTTAAAAGTTTAATTTCGATTGTTGCAAAGGATAATATGCTACATCACTTAGCATCAATACATAAAGCTGTAAAACTAAAATACTTCTGTCAAAAAAATCAAAGAGCTAAATGCAATGTGGTACCCTGGATTGGACCCTGGAATAGGAAACAAGCATTAGTGAAAAAACTGGTGCAATCTGAATAAAGACTGGAGTTCAGTTAATAATAGAGTGCTCATGTTAATTTCTCAGTTTTGGTACAGAACGCATGGCCATGTAAGATGTTAACATTGGGGGGAAACTGAGTGGAAGGTATATGGGAGTTTCTGTATTATCTCTGCAACTTTTCTGTGCCTAAAATTATTTACTAAAGTAACAAGTTATTATTCAAAACACAAAATCAAAGACGAAACTGGAAAAAAGTATCACAATGGGAAACAATGTCTGCAGATATAACAAAGTGTTAGGATCGTTAATACATATATAGAGTTCAAATAAATAGATAAAAGTACAACACCTCTGATAAGTAAATGGGCAAAAAAGGAACAATTTACAGATGACATAAAAATTTTTCTGGAAAGCAGTTTAGATTTGTATAATGAACATTAAAAGCTATTTATACCCTTTGTTCCAGTAATCTTATTTTTAGTAACTAACCCAAAGCAAAAGATGTAGTCATATATACACAGAATGATACTAATTGAAAATTTATCACTAAAAGGAAAAAAATTGGGAAAAGCCTGTCCACCCCTTCAGACAATAGTTAAGTAAATTATACTACATATAAATGATGATTAATGATGTAATAATGCAGTCAAGCAATAATTATGGTCTCAAAGATTTTATAATGCTCTAATCTAGTATTAAAAAATTTAAAGGCAGGATTCACAATTAAATATGCAGCACGATCCCTATACAGAAAGAAGAAATACATCAGATTCTAACAGTGATATTATTTCTGGACAGTGGGATCACGGGTTCAGTTTTTTTTACTGTTCTCTGTTAACTTGTTATCTTTTTCTATAGTAAACATGTATTACACACATATTAAAAACAAATATCAAAAAATAAAAACTCAAAAACAACCTACTCTTATTTTAGCAGTCCTGAATTCTACCCAATCAGACATTTTGACAATAAGAAAAGCATGTAATGGGTCAAGAGTGGACTTGAAGGGCACACACCCGGCTAGGACACCGTCCACAGGGGCCCACAAGGGCTTGCCCAGGAGCTTGTAGTTTTCAATATTTTTAACTGAGGATCTGGATGAAGAAATTCAGAACATGCTGATTAAATGTGCAAGTCATCCTTAGGGTGGACTACCACTTATTCAAGATTATCTTCCTGTGTTGGGGGAGAAAAAACTCTAAGCAAAGGATAAAATTCAATGGCTACCAATAAAAGTGACTTTTTATTGTTAGTCACTAACAATAAGTCAAATATAAATAACAACGAAAAGTCCTATGGACAAACATGAATAATATGCACATGGGATGGAGAAGCCTGCCTGGATCTAAAAACAGAAAAAAAGGACCTTCACCACAACTAAAACGGAGAGAAAAAAACTGTATTTAAAAAGGTGGGGAGGGGAGGGTGCACACCATAATGCTGGGATATGTTGTACAAATGACGTATGTTGTACAGAACGATGTACAAATTACTTTTTTTTTTTTTTTTTGTGGTACGCGGGCCTCTCACTGTTGTGGCCTCTCCCATTGCGGAGCACAGGCTCCAGACGCGCAGGCCCAGCGGCCATGGCTCATGGGCCCAGCCACTCCGCAGCATGTGGGATCTTCCCGGACCGGGGCACGAACCCGTGTCCCCGGCATCGGCAGGCGGACTCTCAACCACTGCGCCACTAGGGAAGCCCAAAAATTCCTTTTAAAGTAGAAGCTTCTAGAAGAATTCTGTGTCTATTAGGCTATCACACCAGTAAACGGGATTAAGCACACCCTATATATATGTATGTCACAGTCCCATCCTAAGGCACTACTGGATCCACTGTAAAAGTTAAGTTGCTCTATTTCTTCCTACCCCTGACTTTTTTTGGCCAGGCGAGTTAGATTCAAATATCCATCTAAATAATCCTAAAAAGGTTCACCCACTTCATATTGTTCAATAATTTACCCATCCTAGGATTTGATCAAACAATTTCCTGTTGTAGTAAAACTTGATTTTGCCAAATATACTATTGAAATGAAAAAATAAGCTAGTTTTTCCTATCAGATTTGGTATTATAAATTTTAGACAACATGAGCTTGGGCTTTGAACTTTTTTTAGCTTTTAGCTTTTGTAATAGATAGAGGGTAGCATGTGAGAAGGTAAGTGTATAATAGTTTTGTTACTGATTTTCAAAGTGCTGGCTAAGCTACGTCTTCGCTCTCCCACCTTCCTCCTTCCCTTCTTAATAACAATTCTTCTAAACCCTGGCAATATCACAGATTTGGCTTTCATTAATATAATCTTCACATCACAGACAGGGAAAAACAACAAAATGAAGGTTTCATAGTAATGTGAGAAAAATATAGGATTACTTCTATTTCTTTTTAAATTAAAATTAAGAACATTTTTCTTTTCTTACTGCTTGAATTACTGAATCACAGGAAGAACAGAGACATACCACTCGGCAAAAATCTGGGAAAACTCGAGTGAACTGTTAGCCACTGGGGAGATGAAGTAGAAAGGAATGCTGGAGAGGCCGGCAGAGTCAATGTACTGATACAGGCATTCCAGAAGGTCATAGATCACTCCAGAAGGGTAGCAGGGGACCAACACGTTTCCTCCGTTCCGGACTGTCTGTGCTAGAAAGGTTGAAGCCACACAACATTGTAAATCAACTATACTTCAATTTAAAAAAAACAACAAAGAAAAGAAAGGTTGAAGCCAGAGAGGGAAAAAAAGTAGTATCAAAAGAACAGTTTAACACAGGGAGAACAGAACTTTAAAAATAATATTTGCATTTCTCTCATTTCCTACATCTGTTCCTATAATTCACTTCGTATGTATAACAATTTACTTCTTTTGAAGACTAGCACCGGAGTGGGAGGATTCAGAGGCTGACTGATGATCAGCTGAGTTTTAACCAATGTCTCAGTGCCTGGGAACAAGGTGTGCAGTTAGGGGTCTGGGTTGTCAAGGTTCCCAATGGCAGATGAGCTTCAGGACAGACCCTCCAAGCTCCTTCTCTTTTTAGCTCCTGCTCAAAACTCTGCTGGATTTGTCTCTCTTCAGCCTCTGACCACTGCTGAATGACCTATAAGGAAACAGGCCAAGTTTTTTCTCTTTGACTCATTTTAGTAGCATTTTCTTTCATTAATGTTTTGGCTATAAGAAAATCCTCTATACTTTAAATACTTAAAATAAGTCATCAAATGAGGAATTGCAACTTACGGTAAAATCATATTAGAAGCTATAACTGGCTAAAAAAAGGCCAAAGATCTCTTAAGTTTGTTTTTTGTTCAGTTTCCAACATAGATTGAAACAAGCAGCGTTTGGGTACAGAACTTGAAGTCTCTGATGACTTTTATCCTCCTCCTACATGTTCCCAACTCTGAGATCCAGGTTCTCCTGGATGCTGTGCCTGGAATACTGGCCGACTTGCTATTACTAGAGTACGGAACCACGGAAAAGACCAGATAGCCATCAGCGCTCAAGAGGCCTGGCTCTAGACCCGCCTCTGTCACAAGCTATGGGACCTTAGTTAGGCCACTGTAACCTCCTGGGCCTCAGCTTCCTCATCGCTGATGAGAGGAGTGAACTAGATCAGTGGTTTTCAAGTTTTATTTTGCATGAAAACTGCCAGAACATGTTAAAAATGCAACTTTTCTATGGGTCTCTCTTACTAGGTCTGTGGTGGGGCCTCAAAATTTGCATTTTTGAGAAGTGGCCTCACTGATGTTGAGGCAGGCGGTTAGTGGACCCCACTTTGAGAAACAGTGGATTAGATGTAAAGTTCCTTTAAGACCTGAAGTTCTTTGAGTCCATGATTCTGGATTATACACAAACATAAAAATAAAAGATTCTGTTCGAGACCAGTCTGATACTTTTTCCAAGCTAAGAATAAATTACCTTTGTCTTAAAATCAGCAAAGAACAAAAAAAGACTAGGATTATTGGCAAGGGCAAGTGAAATTTCAAAGGATAGTGTCTTCCATGTAAATATTAGATGACAACCACTTCTTTCCCCCAGAGTTGCCAGGGATGGGAGGCCTGAGCGCATTAACTCCTCTTTGGCAACAGTTTTGGAGTGAAAGTTTGTGTCTCCTAAAGTTCATGTATTGAAGCCCTCACCCCCAATTAGGTATTAGGAGGGGGAACCTTTGGGAGGTACCCACATCTAGATGAGGCCATTAGGCCATTAGGGTGGAGCCCCCATGATGGGATTAGCACACTTATAAGAAGAGGAAGAGGCACCAGAACAGCTTTTCTTCACCAGTGAGACACAGCAAGAAGGCTGCTGTCTGCAAGCCAGAAAGAGGGTCCCTCACCAGAACCCAGCCATGCTGGCAACCTTCTGACTTCCTAGCCTCCAGAACTATGAGAAATTAGTATTGTTTAAAGCTTATACTAAGGTATTTTGTTACAGTAGCCTAAGCTAAGACAATACGCAACCTACACATTTCTAAAAGAAATGCAGCATTTCTAGATTTTACGGACAATTATATCCAAAGAAACATACATTTCTTCCAGGTAGCAAATACCCAACAAGTCTCTCAATTCAGTCTTCCCCCAAAAGAAGAAAAAAATTATACCAACCAAATAGTGGGGAAAAAAATACAACTGTTTCACCTGTATCACTGTTGTGAATTCAAAGTATCAATAGTCTTTTTTGTGTTATTATTTGCAAAGCAAAGATATGATTCTTTCCTTCTTTAACTTTGCTTACCCTATAAGCACCCCTGACCCACTCCCAAATCCCACCAGAAAACAAGAAGTATAAGAGTTTCTACATAAATCAAGTGGGCGAAATGTTGAGCATTTGTTGTATAAAGTGCTAAAAATTCTAATTTACTGTTATAACCACCATTCCTATTGTGCTTTCAGATTTAAGTTGCTTAAGAATTGCTTTTGTTGACAACAGTAGGCTTTGAAGGATGAGCAGAAAGGGTGGGAATAAATGGGGGGAAAGGCCGTAGTAGGGGGCATCAGAGGGTGTGAATGTGAAGGAAAGGGACAAAAAATACCACAGAATCAAGGTACCAAAAAATAAATGTAAAACATTTTATCTTGTTTAAGGTTTGCATTGAATACATACACAGGTTGCTGCAGAACTCTCCCACCATGCTGTCTGGGTTTGCGGTGGGAATCTGGGTAAGGCCTGTCAGAATGAGAACATCGCTGTTTTTGAGAGAAGCTTGGTCCATGGGCTGAAAAACCACAGAGAACTATGATTAGTAATTTAAAAAAGAAAAGGTTAGATATAAGTAGTAAAGGAAAAAGAGAATACAGTTATTGCTCTTTCCATGTCCAACTCATCATCAAATCATCTCACCTCCTCTAACGAAAAGTCTATCACTGAACAGCGGTTGCCCAACGGGGACGGGGACCCATGGGAGGGAACTTTATGGGGTGATAGTTCTATGTCTTGTTTGGTATGGTGATGACATGATATGAAAATTCATGAATTGTACATTTAAGATCTTTGGGTTTCACTATACATAAATTTTACCGCAATGAAAAATAAGCACATTATCTTATATTTCTATAATGCTTTGCTCTTTTCAAAAGGCTATCTCACACATTATCGTTGGTGGCCCTCAAACTTGAGCGTGCATCAGAATCACCTGGAGGTGGATCGCTGGGCCCCACCCCCAGAGCTTCCGATTCAGGTTTGAGGAGGGCCTGAAAATCTGCATTTCTAACAAGCTCCCAGGAGATGGTCCTGTTGCCGGTCTGGGGATCATGCCTTGAGAACCACTGCACTATACAATTTGGTTCTCAAAACAGCTCTGCCAAGTACATGAAATAGGGTACATTTTGAAAATACAGAAGTTGGGACTCAAAGAGCTGGGGTGCATTTCCCTAAGAGTCAGTGGCAGAGGAGCAAAGAAGGACACTGGATTAGGAACCAGAAATGTAAAGCCTCCTTCAATTCCATTACCAGCACTGGACCTCAGCCAAGCCTCCGAGCTGGGTTTCTTATAGAATGGGCCTATTTCTTGACCCATCTCCCTTCAGTGGCTTCTGAGAGTCTCATGTGCTAATACACATGATCTTCCCGTAGCCTATGAAGTCCTGTGGTGCACTATTGTGTGGTCCTTAGGATGATTTATTTTTGAATTTAACTTTGTTTTCAGAGCATTTCAAAAAAAATACTAATTACTTTTTCCAAATAAATCAGGATTAAAGTTGGAAACAAAAATGAAGGCCCATGTAAGGATGTATTGTACAACATGGGGAATATAGCCAATATTTTGCAATAACTGTAAATAGAAAGTAACCTTTAAAAATTGTAAAAAAAATGTAAAAAATTTAAAAAGTACTTAATAAGAGGAATAGAAAGGGAAAAAAAAAAGGCCCATGGATTGAGATGCTGGAGAGCTCATCAATGTTTTCACTTTGTAATGCATCTTTTCCTCAGTTTCATTTAACATACTCACCAGAACATCAGAAGAAAAAAGCCAGGAACACCGTTTACTGAGAAGCCTTATCCCTCTTCTTTCTGTTCCACCCAGACTTCCCCCGCCAAATTTCAAATAGCAGTGCAGCAAACACCTACCATCTGCATTGCTATCTCTGAGTATACATGCCTTTTGATGTATCATCCTTTAGCATTTTATATACACAAGGATATATGGGCTTCATTATTTTTTAAAATAACATGAGTGTGGTTATATAAGTTGCTTTATAACCTGAAAAATACTTCTTTCACACGAATAAAGGAGAAGTACAGTTGTGACAATTACAAGGAGTAGCTTCTAATTCCTATTTGCACAGATACATAACAATGCGTGTGAGAGCTTTTCTTCTCAGGCAGAACTAACCTACCTATTTGCACTTCAACAAACACACACACACACACACACACACACACACACACACACATATTCACTGTTTCCAGAGAAGGAGGAGAGGAGAAGTAAAGTACAGAGGCTTATAGCAGCTGATGTGCAATGAGCCTGGGAACGTTCATTGTGCGCACACACCAAGCAGAAGGAAACTGGAACGGTGACCAAAAGGACCGAGCTTCACTGGACAGCATATTCAGCTTAAAAGCACAACAATTTTATAAGAATCTTATTAGAACAAGCCACTAATGATTCACAGGGCTGATGGGGGATTCAGAGGGCCTAGGAACCTCCTGAAATGGAACACACAATGCTGTGTGCCTGTATACATTTTTCCACAGATTTAATTAGGTTGTCATTTGGGGCCATGACCCCCAAAAGGCTAATTAAGGACTACTGATCTAAACAAAGACTCAGTGGGGAGAAAACTCTGGCACTGAAAACATTATCTTCTCTGAACCTCAGCCATTACCACTGCCTTCCTTTGAAAATTAAATGCCCATAATAAAAAACAAAGGCAGTACTACAACATGACTATCACCGAGCTGGACACTGAGATACTTCATGATCAAGTCAGACTAGATGTTCATAGTTTTAGCCCTAAAACTTGGGAGACGTTTCTTGTGGATCCCAGGGCTACTATAAAGAAAGTAGTCTTAAAAGGCTTTTAGTGACACTCTCCAAACCAAGCTGACACCACCACCATCTCCATTTCACCACCAAAGAGCAAATGCATATATTACTGGTGTCAGTGGTCACTCGCTGAGTGCCTGAAGTGGGAACATTTTGTTTAAACACACAAAAACAGAAAATTCCACTGTGTCCAAGAATCAAATGAAAATACCTTATAAAGTTGACAGTCACAATCAAACTTGTGGAATAAAATTTTGAAAAAGCCTAGGTCCAAGGATGCTGTGGTCTTTGTGCTGGTCCTCTGCTGATTAATTTTTTTATACATATATATATATTTTAATTAAAAAATTTTTTTTAGCTGTGTTGGGTCTTTGTTGCTGTGCATGGCTTTCTCTAAGTTACAGCGTGTGGGCTTCTCACTGAGGCTCCTCTTGCTGTGGAGCAGGACTCTAGGCACGCAGGCTTCAGTAGTTGCAGCATGTGGGCTCAGTAGTTGCGGCACTCGGGCCCTAGAGGGCACGGGCTTCAGTATTTGTGGTGTGTGGGCTCTAGGGCGTGCAGGCTTCAGTAGTTGCAGTATGTGGGCTCAGTAGTTGTGGCACTCGGGCCCTAGAGTGCATGGGCTTCAGTAGTTGTGGCTCGCGGGCTCTAGAGTGCAGGCTCAGTAGTTATGGCACACGGACTTAGCTGCTCCACGGCATGTGGGATCTTCCCAGACAAGGGATTGAACCCGTGTCCCCTGCATTGGCAGGTAGATTCTTAACCACTGTGCCACAGGGAAGTCCCCTCTGCTGATTAATTTTTACTGGACACTTTGCACAGGGCATGAGAAAAAGGAGATCCAGTTTCTAGGCCCTAGAAGCTTATGACCGAGTTGAAGAGAAAACAAGTATGTATAATCAAAAAGGAGGATTTTCCCAAAAGCCATAAAAAATGTAATTCAAATTTCTTGAGTCTGCACTGAGTATCTAAGTGCCAGGACGAATGCAGACTAGAGGGCTGCACTAGGCCAGGGAAGGTTACTTGTATATGGCTTTTTGGCAGATGAAGTTTTGGTTCTAGCTTTCTTTCTCTCTTTGGCTAAGGAACTTAAGACTCAATTTCAGGCGGACTTTGGAATGGCTGAGTGACACCCCTCTCCCCCAACCCCCCCACACCAAGACGTCCCTCCTACATGTGCCCTCATGGCCTCCAAGACTCACTATCCCAGCACCAACCACACTGAACTGTAATCGCCTGTTTACCTGTCTGTGTCCCCCATGGGACTATGAAGCTCCCTGAGAGCAAGGACTTTGTATCCTTACTTCCTGGCAAGATGCCTGGCACACAGCAAACAGTAAACAAACATTCACTGAATAAATGAACACATGAAAAGAACATGCATTCTGGTAAGCAAAGTGAGAACATTCCATGCTAGGAAACAGGCACTACAAGTCAGGAACATGAGATAAGCATGTCAACAGCGGGAGGAGGGCCAGGGAGGGCAGAGGGCAGGGAAAGGCAGCCTGTAGATGCCACACGGATTTATTTGAGAAAAGAAATTAGGAAAAAGAGAGAAAGTATTATTGGTTAAGGGCCTAAAAGGTCAGAATCGTGAAGACTGATAGGCTAGGCAATAAGGAGTCAATGGTCTCAAGCCGGAGGATGACATTTTTAAACAATAAACACAGACAATAGCTGAAGGAAGGGGAGTGAGACCAAACAGACGGAGAACACTTTGAAGGCAGCCCAGACAGACATAAAGGGAAAAAAATTACAACTTCATGGCATTTGAGGAGCTGGAAGAAGCAGATCTACACATCATACAAAACAATTAACAGACTTTGGGGAATGGATTGAATATACAGGACAAGGGAGAAAGCAGACTTTAACATGCTCCAAAATCTGAAGTCAGAAATGCAGTCAAAGGGAAATTCGGATGCAGTGATTTAAAAGAATAAGGAGGCAATAATAAGTCCAGCATCGGCAAGCTGCAGGTATTCTGAGGGTAGGGAAATGATTTAATCTGAGCTTAAAGATAAAACAGTGGCATGTGATGTATATGGAGATCTGCTAGGTACCTTCATCAAAGTACGTAACAGAAATGTCAGTTCATTTGGAGTGAGGAAAAGAGAAGTGGGTCTAGGGCCAAGGCTGGAGGGGCACTGTAAGGAACGTGGGAGAGGGGCAAAGACAAGAGAAGTACAAGATGCAGTGAAGAGCTTCCTACCTGTAAAACTCAGGGGTTTGGGAAAGGTTAAGTTTATGGTGCACTCACCCCGTAATATGGCAAAAGATCAGGTAGAGCAAGAAGAGGAATACAACAACAAAAAGATTGCTACAGAAGTCTAGACTAAAAAGAATGTCAACAAGAGACTGATGAATGGTGCAGCTGTGAGATGCTGTGGAAAACGGAAAAAGTTGTTTGACCAGAAACTGATCACTGTTGAGCCAGAGATGTGAAATAAATCCAGGAGGTAAAAGATGAGAAAGTAATGTTCACAGGCCGAGTTGAACAAGGTGAACAGGAGAAATCTCATCATGGTTAAGAGAGAGACTACGGCAGCAGGTGATGAGACAGTCTTCTGAAAGCCTTTTTCCATATTAAAACCCCTCCGATTTGCTTAAAGGCAGAAAAGGAGGAATCCGAGAAAAAGTTAATGGCCCAATGACCTATGCTTCTTTCATGACAGAAAGTAGGAAGTATATTTGGAATCACGAAGCACATCATACCCAGCCTTCTAAGG